TGCCTGTTTTCTAATCCTAGTTAGCAGAGAACTCAGAAAAGTGATTTAAAATCATCTTATAATTCCAGCTGGCAGTGGAGGAACTTGGGCATACTGCCAGGGAATTCTGTGTTCAAACCTGTATTCAGATATGTAACAGTATGAAGTTTACTGTGCAGATGAGCAATATGATGTGAATCTTTCACAGTGGACAGAAAGAAGTGTCACAGTTCCACCAGGCTCTATGGTTCTGTTAAACCCGTGGGGAAAAAAGTCAATGGACTTGGTGGAGGGAGCACATCTCTTTGTCTCTATTTTCACAAATCTGGGGTTTTTTTTAAAGTTTTAAATGGGGACTACTATTTTGTATTGAAATTGAAAAGTAAACTAATTTAGGGAACACCGTGACCTTCCCATGCTTGGGCCATAGACCGTCCTACTGCACTGTGGCCCACCTTCGTCCGTTCCTATCCCAAGAGACATGAACTCTTGCTGACCCCGCCATACAGCAGTTCTGCTCTGGTGCTTTACTGAGAAGAGCTGGGATGGCCAATGGCTGGGACAACAAGGGGGACATGCAGGCTGCAGCCACCCCTTCCCATGTGCTGCAGCAAATAAGCAGCAGTTTTACAGGTGTGATGTGTTACTCCTTTCATACTCATAACATTATTACTCTTTCATGCTGGAAAGTATTTCCTATTTCTTTTGAGGCACACACTGTCCACATCTTTCCTTAAAAGCCATTTCTTCAACAACAATTTCCAGTTACGCTGTCCCCATTGGTGTGTCTTCCTCTGAACACCACTGGCCAGAGAGGACCTAAATTTAACCATCTGGGCACAGTATTCAAACACACTTTTGTTCTAGGCTAGATAGCTGTCAAATGGGCATCTCATCTGATAACTTGCTTAGGTAAGAAATGGGTTACTACATCCTTGTGTCAATGTTCTCTTATGGCAGGGAGCAGCTGCAAATTTGGGGACTGTTCTTGCAGTAGCTGGTTGTTGGCCATATGATATTCCATTCTTATTTATAAGCATTCCCAATAGTTGGGACAAAGGGTACTTTTTTCTTGTTGTCGTTAAAACATTGATAATACTCTTAAAGATCTCCACAAAATGTAAGACCTCAAAGTTTAGCCAATAGTACAAGTTTATGAGCTTGTTTCTAATTCATCGTATAACATGATTGAAAATTCTAATTCATTGTATAACATGATTGAAAATTATGTTGATCATAGGAAAGTCCCAGACGGGAGCTTAGTTATCTTGGTGACAGAATCTTATCTTTTCTCCTGCTTACCCTGTTAATGGCAGACTAGCATAATTTGGCTTTGGAGTCAGGAGACTGAAGTCCACAAGGTGCTTTTTCTGCAGAGGACCTTCCTCTTTAGAACTCACTCTCCACTTTGCTCCCAAAACTTAAGCCTCTTTGCCTTCAGGATCAATTTAAGGCACGTACTTGTTTTGGTAAAAGGTTGATTATTTTTTTTTTGTTTTGCCAGATAATATGCTTCTGCAACTAATTTATTGACGTGCCACAGAAACACAAAGGTGTTTGTGTTCTGGCTGAAGTTACACACGTCATAAAGTTTACCAGCTCATTCTAACATAAGAAGTGATTCGTTACCTTTTTTGTACAATGTGATCTATGTTGTTTTCTATTTTTCATTTTGTATGCATTAGCAGAGATAAAGTATGTGCTTTTCCTCATCTACACGCCTTTCAGAAATAGGCTGGAAGTGATCACTTGCCCTACATTTTAGTAAACCAAGACCCTCCTTAAAGTCATCTCTGTTTCTTCCTAGTGCAAACTGGGAAGCATTCTGCTGCCCCACCAGCTTTTTTAAAAATGGCAAAAGCAGCTGGATCTAATTGTCTTCTAAAGGCAATACCGTGTTTCGGATGTGTTGTGCTTTTTATGCTACCCATTTTATAGGCTTTCACTGGTTAAATTACAGTGAATATGGAGGAGCAGATTTTGCGAACCACTAGCAGATGTTCGCTGTTGCTAGTTTTATGAGTTTTGTAGAACAGCAGGAACAGACTATGTGCAAAACATTTTTTTTTGTGATTTTGCCATCTCATACTGTTCTCACAGCACTGGCTTGGTAATGATATGATAAAGCTTGGGAGGTAAGCTTTGATTGCAGACGAGCTGCTGTTGGGGCCTTCAGAAAGCCAGACCTGTAACGTGTAGTTTGTTTTCAAAAGCCTGTGGCTGAGACAGATGGGTTAGCTGAAAATATGTCATTTATAATATAATCAAATGCTTGACCTCTTATTCAGGTATTAGATGTTATGACATGGATTCTGGATGTTTAAACTGTCTCACAGTTTGGTTCATTCAGATGTAAGCTGTGATAGCTTTGTGTGAAATGCTAATTTTGAATGAAATTATCATGTTAACATGATTTATTTGAATTTTGTAACACCTTGTAGTACAGAGGAGATCACAAGACAGTCTCACATAAAAAGCAAGAGCACTAGAATGTGTGCATTTCAAACATTTTCTTCAAGTAATGCCTTATTTTAAACCCTGCCTAAGTTTTGGTGGGGAGAATGTCAATGTGGTAATTTACTGTCCTCTCTTGAGCTAACAAGTCACTTGGTTGAAATGGTTTTGTAGTCAAATACATGTTGTGGGCAGGGGAAGAAATCTTTAATATAGAATCAGCCTTGCTCTGTGGTCTGAACAGAAATGAATTGTCATGGGCACAGACAGCGTAGTGACGGAGCAAGACTGAGTTTGTGATAGCAGTAGCTTTACTTTGACTTAGTAATATATCCATCTACAGAGTCCACACCTCTTTCTTTCCTCCATCTCTATTGCCAATGGATATGTAGTTTATAGCAGTTATCTGAGCATACATGTATTAACTGTGACTGTAGGCAGAACAGCAGCTGTGATAAACTATTATTCTTAATACTGGAAAGCCAAAGCATGCTAAATGTTTGAAATACAAGAACTGAGAACGTTTGCATAATTCAGTCCTTTTGTGTCTATGCATTAAAATCTGTTGTAACACAAATGCAGACTGAAGCTAAGAATAGGACAGACCATCTTATTACAAGCATTAACTAATTCTGCAGTGCTTGATTTTGCAACCTTACGATACTATTTTGGCACAGATATTTGGATATAATTTTCCTTGAGTTTGGTGGTTGGGGTTTTTTTAGAGCAAAGGAAGGGGACAGATAAAATAAAATATAACCCCAAACCTCGTGAAAATTCTCTAGGTAAGGCAGTAATGGAGGGAGCAAGTTGTGCAGTTTCCCAGCACAGATACCTGCTGCAGTCATGGAGGGTCCTAATGCCGGCTGTAGAGGAGAATGTGGTCTGCTGCACACAGCTTCTTCTGCCCTTTCCTCCCCACTGGCTTTGTGAGAATCTGCTCCCTTTCTCTGCACAATCCAGCAAGAGGGAATAATTTGAGACAGATCCCTAAGAGAGCAAAACTGAGACAGGAACAGTTGGGAGAAGACTGTGAGTGGGAAGAAAGGAAATCAAGACAAATGGAGGAGGCAAATAGAGACTTGGATGTTAAAGTCTGAGCTGTATGGAAGTGACTGGAAAGAGGGAGACAATATTAGGTAACTTTCACAGGTGACACTACAAAAATCTATTAGTGACAAATATTACTACTTTCTCTACTACACAACCAGAAAACAAGCTTGAAAGTATAAAGTTATAAAAATCATTAGATTGTAGCTGATAAAATTTGAAAACATCTATTTCATTACCTAATTCAGCTCATGCAAGATTGCTCCTTATAATGAGGTTTCATGTACATTATGAAATCTAGTTCTAAATCGAATGAAATTAGAACCCCTGAAAAACAATTTTAGTAGTTCCATGTCTCAGAAATTCTAGGCATTACTCCACTTTAAATATTTTCTTTGCTAATTTCTTTTTTACTTCTCCTAGTTTATAGCAATTTTAATCTGTTCAATTGCTCTCTATGCAGGTTCTTAGAGTACTTTTAACTATATATATGCTATTACCATATCTGCACCAGACACTTGGAACCATGCTAATGTATGCATCTTTTAACTCTTTCAGGACATATATCTGTAGTCAAAGACTTTGATTTTAGGAAGAAATCAATAAGTTCAGTAAGAACAGGTCCAGAGATTACCGATGCTTACCATGACTTAAATTCATAGTCTGCTTTCCACTCATTTGCAAATTTTTTTCTCCCATTTCCATGGAAATCTCAATTATTTTTCAGTCTTTAAAGTGAATAAAACTGAATGCAATCCAGTTGCAATAGGAATCAGTTTAGTGATATACTTTGTTGTCCTATCATATGCACATCCTAAATAACATTGCACAAAAACTTATTATGGGTGCTTGTGCTGACTGCCCAGTATGTTCCTTCTATTACCAAATGCAGTCAGTGATGTGTCTCACTGCTCACTACTGCCTTGTGCAGTCTTTTCTTCAACTGCCAGTGACACCTGGAGCTGCTCAGCTTCTGTTTATGAAGAAGTTTTCTTCTTTTTTCATAGTACCACAACCATTCTTAGAGGGTGTGTTTGCCTCTCTCTTCACTTTTTCCTTTGCAAGGGATCTATCTCTGACTTGGGCTTGTTGCAGCAATAATGCTCTTGAATCTGCAGATTCCTTACTGTTTCCAGAAGCTGAGGTTTAAGGATGGAGAGTACAGGAAAGTTCACATTAGCATTATTTCTGCTATTCTTGTTTTGGGAAAAAAATAATATCCCATTTCCATGAGCATTTCATAAATATACTATTGTTATTGATTTGCATAACAACGCTGTACTTCTGCTTTCCCATAATGTAATCAGGAGTAAACACTGTATACATTTTACAAATAAGGGTTTCAGCAGTGCCCTTTTTTTTTTCAGCTGAGAATAGGAATTTTGTGGATGAATAATTTTTGATAGCATTTCTGTTCTCATGACATTATCCAGATGCTTGAAGAAGGACTGACTCTGTAGTGTGATGTAAGACTTACTCCCAGAGTGATGTCACCAACTTTCGTGTTTGCTTTACAGGTTGATGACCAAATGAAGTTGCTTCAGAACTGCTGGAGTGAACTCCTAATTCTAGATCACATTTACCGGCAAGTGGTACATGGGAAAGAAGGCTCCATCCTTCTGGTTACCGGGCAACAAGTGAGTATGTGGGCTCAGAGAAGTATTGATGGCTTTTTAATAATCATTTTCAAAATAGCAGGAGTTTAACTAGGTCAGAAGCACTCCTGTGTTCTCAGAGACTCTCCACAAATAATGTAGATAAAATGACTTGTGCACTCTGTTCCTAGTCTGCTGATTACAGTTAAACTTATAAAAGCAGATATAATCATAAGCACTTTGCTTTTCAAATATACTTGTATACTTCAGTGATTGAAAAATAGCAGATGAGAAGTGTTTCTCAAGAAGTTGTATTTCCTGGGGGCTAAAATGGTTTCTGACAGCAACAGCAACACTCCGAAACCTGATGCTTTAGGTCTAAGCAATTATAGCTTATTTTCCCTTCAGAATTGTGGTTTACTCAAGGAATCACTAGCAGGGTCAGAGACCCAGAGAACCTGTAGCTAATACCTCAGAAATATCTTGCTTTTAGAGAAGTATGCACATGTGCAAGAAACTGGGCAGCTGACACGCCTAATCCCAGGAAAATTTTTCAGTCCATTGGCAAATGCAGGTATTGTCTCAGGAGCTGTCTTGGGATACACACCCTGCAGTTTCTGCACAGCTTTCCAAGGGTTAATTTTCTTCAGGTGCCAGATGCATAGCTCTGCCAAAATGCAAGAGCAATAATGTGGCTAACATTAGGAAAACTGTGAGAAAACCCAAAGGAAATAGAAAGTTTTGTCTCCCTCTTACTTTCCAAAGCAAAAAGAACTTGACAGCAAAATAAGAACCTTATTCCTAAGCTTCTTATTCTGTTTTTAACAGAAAAAAATTACAGTATCAAAGAGAAACAAAGTGTGCCTGTACATTGTGTTCCCAATGCAAAATGCAAACAATGGCCCATTGGTATTTAAGTAGCTGCATACTGAATTGCCTCAATTTATACACAAATGGGAAAGAGCTCCTTTTTCTAAGATACGTCATTTGTACCTGCACATTGTGGAATCTGCTTACAACTTTAGTTATAATTTTAAAACTGTAGCCATTTCTTAACACTAAGACCAAGTGTTTATATGAATCAGAAGGAGAAATAACTGTTTGCAGTTATGATTAAAAGGGGTACAGTAGAAGGGCCAAATTATCAGCCTGTCCAACAAAAGTGTGAAAATTCAAAGTCTAGCTACGGAACTGACTCTTGCACCTTTGTGGAAAGTCACTAACCTGAGTTAAAGTTGTAGTCTCTCATTATATGAGCTAAAATTCGTTGTGTTACTCTTGATTTATATTAGTGTTATTGAGAAAAATTACTGATCCGCTTTCCATTTCATCATCTGTAAAATACAGACAATTGTACCAGCAATTATTTTATTTACCACACAGGGTGCTTGCTTATTCCTTTGTTTATAAAACTATAAGTATATTGACAGTTTTTTGTTCTTGAAAGAACTGCTAAATTAGTGTCTCATTTGCTTTGCGATTAGCTAGTTTTAAAAGGTACTGAGTACCTAAGTCCCACTCAAATCATTAGAGACATCTAAATACCCTTAAATTCTAGCCATTGTACCCATTTTCACAGTAATAATTCTTACTTAGTTAGCCACTTTTATCTTTTCTTGCAAAAAACCCAGCTGTATATGATCTCAAGGCAAAGCAGAGCATTTAACCACTGTTGCACAATAGGTAGCAGGATGCTTATTAATGTACTGCTTGCAAATCATCAGCTTGTTTTGGAAGTTGAAGACTATAATTCTGCTTGGAAACATACAACTAAGTTAAAACCCAGCTAAATTGGATTGATTGCATCCATTTTTGCCCCAGTTTTGTCAAATAAGTTTAGTACAGCCTCCTTTCAACCCAATTTTGCTTTCCTATGCCAAAGTTTGAAATTTTAAAGTTGGTACAAGCACCCTCAGAGTCTCCCATCATCTTCCGTACATCCCTCTTCACACTTAGGCTGCTTGGAGAGCAAGGGGACATAGTACGAGAACAGCAAACAAGTGCACTGCAGTCAGTCCTTCTGCTTACAGATGGACTCCTTCCCATCCCACACTGGCTAACGGCTGAAGAACGTACTCCCATATATGCACCACAGATTCTCCCTGAGAAACAGGGAGACACTAGACCTGAAGTAAATATGCAGTCTCTGGCTGTTGTTTTTGAAACTGGAATGAGTCTCAAATCTACACATAATGCCACTGGATTGTCCTGATTGCATTCAGCTCTAGTCACTGTTACTCTAGATGAAAAGCCAGATTGGAGAGTGCGCTGCACTGACTGTGCCTGCTCTCCCTGCGCTGTGTGTGGCATCTGTGCTCACAGGAAGAGCACAGCTAGAACTGCAGAAATGTCACTATTGGGCCAATACACAAGTTGTATGCAATTTGACCTTCAAAAGCATTCACTTTAAAACATCACCTATTTAAACTATTTTCATGGCTGAAAATCGTTCATTGAAGAACATCTTTTATTTAGATGGACAAAGCTGGGTGAGCTAAGCAGAAGGTTTAAAATATCTAGAATTGCCAGAGCCACAAATCTTAACATCACAGAATAATCCAATCTGGAAAGGATTTTAAGGAGCCTCTAGTCTAACCCCCTCCTCAAACTAGGTTTATCAGGGCTTTGTCAAGTCGGGCTTTGAAAACCCCTAAGGATGGAAACTGCACAACCTCCCTGCACAGGTAGCGCTGCTGTCTGACCATCTTCATGGGAAGAAAGTTTTTCCTTAGTTCCAGTCTAAATCTCTTTTTTTCCAACTTATACCCAATGCTGGTCACTTTCCTCCTCCTTGAGCCCTGCTGCAAAGCACAGAGCCTGCGAGACCTTGTTAGTAAAGGCTGAAGCAAAGGTGGCATTGACTACCTCAGCCTGATCTGTGTGTGCTGCCACTAAATCACCCGCTGAACCCAGCAGCAGTCTCACGTTTTCCTTGTTCATCCCCTAACTAGCAATTTGATAACCCTTGCAAGTCTAAATTCTAGTTGAACACTGGCTTTTTAAACATCATCCCTACATGCCTAGACAGTGCTTCTAAATTACTTATTCTGAGCCGTTCCTGGCTTCAGCCACTGTACGCTACCTTTTTTGCACGGTAACTCAGTTGTGAGTTACTTGTTTAGCCAAGCTGATCCAATACAACTGCTTCTTTCTCTAAGTGTCAAGATGGACCATCTTGGCAGCACCAACTCAGTGTTGTCATTCTAAGATACAGTGCCAGTTCAAATCTATTTATGAAAGGACAATTATGACTCTATTTCCTCCATATTAACTGTAAAATAATTCTGCAAAGCCATGCTTCTAGACCCGGGCATTATGAGTTTTTGCTATTGCACTGAATGCTGTGTACTTTCTGGTTGTTGCCCTGATCCTTTCAGTTCCTTCAGTAGAGAAAGGGAAATAACCATGGACACCATCTCATAAAAATTAATTGATTATGGTGTGGAAAGCACTCTGACACTTCTGATGAAAAGTGCTGTAGATGTTTTTTATTTACTGCTACCAGCAAAGCACTATGAGCAAAATTACAGTCAATCATCTGGCTTTCAAAGATATTAACTTTAAACTGAGGACCTGAGCTAGGTAGTCTACTTTGTTACCTGAGAGATCATGATTATTGTCACAAGTTAGCCAATTTAAGACCTCAGAAGCCTCACTCCTTGCTTTCCTTAATATATCCCTCCATAAAAGCTACTCAAACACAGTCCTTTTTACAATCACAATCAAGGGGGAAGCTGTAAGGGCGGAATTTATCACCACTTAATTAGAACATACCTGCTTTCTCTGGTTCAGCTGCACCATCTCTGTTCTTCAGACACAAAAGCCAAACTTCATCCAGCTCCCCACGGCCACACCACTGTCAGTTCTATACAAGGTATCTAAAATGGGCTAGTAGTTAGAAGAACACTTGATAATTTTCAAACACATTGGCTCAAACCCCATTACCTTAGGGCATTCTTATCACATTTCCATACATCTGCATTTCCCTCAAGCCACTGGCTTATGAGTGTTACCTAGTGTGAATCCACTGTGTTCCCACTTTGATGGGCAAAAAGTGCAGTCAGCAATAAAGTAGTAAGCATTGGCCCTTGCACAGAAAAAAGACAGTGTTTTATTTTATTTTGTTATTTATTTGGTTGGAGTTTCATAAATGAAGCTCTTTTGTGTGCCTGTGTTTCAAGAAAGCACTTTTTTCAGATCATTACAATTCCTCAGCAGTTCCTCAGAAACAAGTTCCTCCCTATGCTGCACACTTCATTTTCTGCACTAAGTACTGCCCCTCAGCAGTAGCAATTACCATTTCAAAAAGAAATAAAGTAGCACAAATGCATTTTACAACTCTCCAAATTTCATAATAGAAAACAGCTAAGGAGTGATTTGCAATGTGGTGGTTAATTGTAAATCATTGCCAATATGCTCTCTGCACACTGACTTTCATAGGCTTGCCATGTAGCATATAATTTTAACAGACCATTTCTAATTATAGAACTTTAATTCTTCCAACTTGAGCACTTTCCTTTTGTATCTTCTGCATCAGCAATATACTGTTAGCTTCCAAGGTGCAGCACACACAGGTAGATACTAAAGTTCTGTATGGAATATTTCACGTTCCTGCATTTTCATGCAGCAGTCACGCAACACATGAACCGCAGGCTCGGCTGCCCAGACACGAGCTGCTCATCTTGTTCATACCTACACTCTACTCATTGTTGCCAAGTCTTCTACTAACCCAATGTATTTGCTAAGGCTGTTGGAGAATCTGTCTATGGAACAGACTTGCAAGCCCAAGGAAAGATCACCTTGCCCCTGAAAAGGTTCTCAAGAGGCAGCTGAACTATCAGACTGTGGGCTACAGATGACTGTATCACAAAGAAAGATCACCCTATGTAAAAGAGTGTTAGAGGAAGGAGTGTCTCTGAAGGAGAAGAGAAAGGAGCTGGCAAAAAAAGTAGATAAGGAAACAGGCTTTTTTGTACATCCTAAGAAACAACTAAAAATGCATACACTAGTCATAGGGTATAGAAAGATAATGGATACCTGAT